TTAGTATGTTTTCAGGTAAGGCAGGTTGATATCTATACAAATAACCATATGCACGAAGATGATAAACGAGGTATTCTAATTCATACATGGTTGTAGAATCAACATAGTGAAAAGAAACTGCAAGATCAGAACAGCAACCAGGGCCCTAAAATAGTGGTGGAAAGACACTGTTAATAAAAAGCACATTAATATCCAATCATCACATACTAATTTTAAAAGAATCCAAGCATTAAAGTTGGCAACATAAAGCAGAGTTACCTAATTTATTAGACGTGAAAGAAACTAACAGTTTGTTAGAAACTAAGAGTTCCTAGTCAAACAAAATTGCCAAAGTATTTCTAACTGAAACTATTCTTTTATTTTTCAGTGTTTTAGTAAAAAACAAGTTCCCAGGCAAGGGTGTGAGAGCCACAAATGAACACATAGGGTTTAACTTGCTAAGGTATAGTTTATTTTATTTCAAATTTGTGAGGCAAGGGTATGAGAGCCACAAATGAACACAGAAGGTTTAACTTGTTAAGGTATAGTTTATTTCAAATTTCTGATCCTTTCTGGAAGCAATATTTATGACTGAAATATTGTACTAAACTGTTATTTTTAAGCATACAAGCAATAAAAGACAATAAAAGAAAACAGCTAAATTATTTAAAAGAAATAATGACTGTGGTTACCAAAAACACTCAAGAGTGTCAAAGAAAAAATAAACATAAATAGGGAATTCTATAAATCCGATTAAAAAAGATGCTTAAAACATTTTCATATATACCAAATTAAACAGGTAAGTTTTTTAAAAGCTCAAACAGAATATTACCCAAAAAAGGAAATACCTAAAGAGATACTTAGTAGATAAAGATGTTAATTGACAAAGTTTCATGAAGGGATCTAAAAGGGCAACCTAAGGAAAAAATTCTGGGCAAAAGTATCATTGTCCCAAAACTAATGAGCTTCCATGCAAGAATAAAGACATAAAGTTGCTGAAACACCTTGAAAGAGAAGAAAAAAAGGGAGACTAACACATTTTTAAATTAGTAACTTAGAGAAGGTTCACTAACAACATATTGGTGGGGCAAAATCAAGCAGAACAATGGCACAGAATTGAAATCCCAGACACTGATGCAGTTGTATTACAGAAAAATTAAGAAGGGTAAATTGGATATATAGTATGATCTCTAACAAAAATTAAAATATTGGGCCTGGGCCTTAGCTCAGTGGTTCTGCCACCTGCCTCGCAAGCGCAAGGTCCTAAGTTCGATCCCCGGTACCAAAAAAAACCCACCTCTTTGATAAAGTTGAGTATGTATGAAGTTGAATATCTTCATCCCTACTTACCAGATAAAATTTTTCTATATTCTTAGTAATTACTATAAAGAAAATATATGCATGATATTTAGAAAGACTTAGAAAAATATTATTCAGTGATAGATGAATAACAGCATTTTGGTTTCTGTACAATGTCCTGATACAGAACAGGCAATTTTAGAAGATGCGATCAATTTCAGTACTTCAAATTTTGTTTTAGAATTTTCATTATAACAGAGTAAATTTTTAAGGTGACAACAAACTTTACCCTTCATTTAGAAACCACTACTTAAATAAAAGATGTCCTCTACAAATTTTGTAAATAGGGATAATACTTCACTGGTTACAAAATAATTACAGTTATGATGCCCTTTTGTTATTGTATATGTAACCAATATTTCAGTACACTCATATGCCCTGGGATATATTTGTACATGCTTTGTAATGCTATTAAATCTGAGTACATTTTTATATGGGAATGAGTGTAAAATTTAGAAGGGGAATGGTCAAGTCATCTTGCAATGTTTAGAATAGATTAAGAAAAGCATGTATCAAAAAAGCAGACTGGAAACACTGTACTTCTATTTCACAGTCTTATATTGTTGCAGCTACAGTAGCAATGAAAAAACAGCATAAAGCTTCAACAATCTCATTACATAGAAGTGAACTTAAAATCTTCATTTATTAAAGTGGACTTTTACCGCAATAATATAATAGTTGTTTTAACATACACACTCTACTACTTCTTTTGGCACATTATCCTATTGATCATAGAAAGATGCATATGAGCAGTAAAAGGAAATAAAACCTTTTAGAATCACAATGGTTTGCAATACTGCCTAGTTCAGTGATGGTGAACTTTTTAGAGCTCTCACTGATACAAACAGCCCAGTGCGGCACTCATGCCACAGGTTCACCACCAATGGCCTAGTCAATTATCAGGTAAGGCCAATTACTGAATTTTCCTGAGCTCAGTTTTGTCACCTATTAAATCCAGAACTGTTGCAAGGATTAGCTACCCATGATGTTTGTGTAGACACAAAAAACACACAGGTGGCTGACAATACAAACAGCAGTGATTTGCTTCAAAATTTCCTTTTAAAGCTGGTCACCTAAAAGCCTGGGCCAGATGTAGGCCAGGGTTTGTTAATTTTGGCACTACTGATATTCTGTACTAGTTAATTCTTTGATGGGAGTGTGAGCCTGTTCTATGCACTGCAGGATGGTTAGTATCTAGTGGGTTTCTAGCAACCTAGTTGTAAAAACCAAATGTTTTCCATACCCTGCCAGATGTCCCATGGGGTAACAATAATGGTTAGAGAATCATTATTCTAGCGGATGATTTGAAAGCACTGGCTTGTGAAGAGGAGAGTGGTACAATTTATTAATATCAGGCAGAGAAAAGGTACAGAGAATTAGTGACTTGCCTAAAGACTTTAATAAGAGAGCTGAGGCTAAAAACTGGGTTTCATGATTCCTCGTCACATATTCACTGTAGTAGTACTCTTAATAGTGAAAAACTGGAAACAATCTACATTCATATCAGCATGGAACAAAGTGTTTATATATTAGATTATGCAACAGGTTAAAATAATGAAGTAGACACATTATCAATATGTTAGTTGTATGAAAAGGGAAAATGTGGAAAGATGCATATGGTCTAATTCTATTCATTTAAAAGTCTGCAAAACAATACTATATTTATGAACATCAACACGAAAGAAAAATAAATGTGTAGTTAGTGAATAACAAATTTATGATAATGTTTAATTCTAGGGAAGGAGTAAGAGAGCTAGAATGGGGAGGGTATGCAGGCTCCAAGTATAACATATTTCTCCTTTGAAAAATTTTGAAGCAAATTCACAAAAGATTAACATTTGGTTAAGCTGGGTGATAAGTATAAGGTATATTATTATCAAACAGCTGTATACTTGAAATATTGCATCAATGTATTTTACATAAAATTCTCAGGAAGGTAAGCTAAGGTACCAAATGAGAGCCAAAGCTCATTAAATGCTTACCACGTGATAGGCTGTACTATACGTAATTACAAGGAAATGGCACAAGTAGCTCTTGTCCATTTTACAAATGAGGAAACAGACCTCAGCCGAATTCTGTTCATTCCATGGTCATTCAATTAATAAATGGGAGAGCAGAATTTGAACCTAGGTCTTTCTGAACCTCGCAGTCTTCTCACAAGTTCCTGATGATTAGAAGGCTCTTTAACCAGATCTTCAGTTGGCTTCATGCAAGTTTTTATTCAAAAGTCATCTCTTAGAAATGCCTTGCATCAAAACCACAGTATCCCACCAACTATGGGTAACTTTTAAGGATCTTTTTCTTCAAAAGAACTGAAGAGTACCTAAACTCATATCCTTATGAGTCTGCCTGCTAATGGTGAATTTCCCCATCCAGAATGTTCAATTCTCAAGAACTGAAGCCTGACTGTATTTGCTTTTATACTCTCAATGCCTGGCTATGGTAGTATCAAGAAACACTGGTTAAATGGCTACTGCCGATTCCCATTTTCGTTTGCTTTGTTATACTGCCATGGTAAGCAGAACTCTCCCTTGGTATTTTATTGATACTGAAGAAACATACACATACTAGCTAGTTTATCTTTTAAGTCAACAAAGTAAATTAGTCCCAAGTATTTATACAGTAATAAAATTTCCAAACTTACCTGTACAGGAGGATAATAGTTATAATTCCAGTACCAAAAGGTTCTGGGTAGATAACTTTTGATTAAGTGGTGTTCTGGTACAAAGGGATGAAAAGTTTCTTTTCCTGTGGTATCTCTGGAATCCCCAGCTTCTACATTCATAACTTCCATGCATTTTCCCAGTGCTAGGTCTTCAATGGAAGAACTATGTGTACATTTTTCTGTTTTAAACGCATCAATAAATCTCTTCAAGGCTTCTTTGCTTAGTACATATCCTGCTCCTCCACTCATGTAACCCTGCTTTACAAAGGGCTTAAATCTTCTCCCAAAATAAATGGGTTTTTCAGGGCTATATTTTGAAAGAAGCCATCTCAAATTGTCTAGTATGACATATGTATCATCATCTGCTTTCATAAACCAATCCGCATCTTCTAAATAATGGTCATGAACATACTGAAAAGCTTTAATTGTTTTCCAGTATAGTTGATCTCTACCTTCTTTGGTTTTTAAGCCCACAGTAGGGAAGTCTTTATTTTCTTCTGAACTCATAAATAACACTTTATTACAACGTTGGGCCCATGTAGCTTTGACATGTTTGGCCTTTTTCTCTAGATTTTGAGGGCCCGTCATAACCCAACAAAGAATTTTAACTTTCTGGTACAGGTTTTCAGCGATGTCTGTGTTCTCATCTAAAATTTAAATAAAATAAATTGAAGAAAATATTTTCTTAAAGACTCTTCTCTATTTACCCATCTATCATTAGTGATTTAGATGAAAGAAAGCAAAACTCAACCTAAGGGTAACTACATTCTGAATTACTGATTTCTTGTCAGTTTTACCCAGATTACTAAAGGTGTCTCTAGGACTCACATTCTTACCACTCAGATGTTGTTCATGGGGCAGCATCATCAGGACCACCGGAGACTGTTAGAAATGCAGGATCTTAGGCCCTGCCTTAGAACTGCCAAATCAGAATCTGAATTTTAAAAAGTTCTGGTGATTCATACACATGTTAAATATTGCTTTAAATAATCTCTGCTTGGTATTTCATACTACAAAGAAAGTTTTGGCTGTTATTCAGAACATTCACTGGAATTTCTCACTACTCTGAGCTTCTGAAGGGCAGAAAAAAACATGCTGCTGAAGTGGCAGTTCATTTCTGAAGGTCACTAGAGTCCACGGTCATGAATTTCTACAGGTACCTTCAGGTGGCCCTGAAAGCTTTCATGCTAGCACAGTTCCAACAGGAGTTAATGCAGGTTTGAGATTACTTCTGATAATTCTAAACACTTCATTTCAAAATGCAAATCCCCCAAGCAGAAACAGAACAGGTGCAATTTCCAAGACTGTTCAGAACAGTGTTTTTTAAACTACTAGTTTGCAAAGAAATAAGCTTATGGGAGAATATAAATCAACATATTCAACATATTACTTCTTTCATCAAGGAAGGATTCTGATTAAAATGAGGAGGGGAAGGTCCACTTAACTAAGCAGTAAGCTTAGGGACTTAAACTGACTTACATCCTGGCATAAGCTTCTTACCTGACTGAGAACAATTCACAGGCTGTCAGGCCAGGACCACACTATAGTACTGGTCTAAAAGAAGACCCCAATTATAAGACTCTAAACTAGTACTTCTTAAACTATCTGTGGTGAAGGATGAATTATTTCTAATTATTAAATATGATAAAAATCAATGACTCAAAAATATAAAAAGGTCTGGAGTCTTTATTTTTAGATTCAGACAAAATCACCATTACCATAAAACATTTCTGCTTATCTCAAGTTTAGTTTCCATATATATATTTAGTTACTGAGTCTGCAAACCACACTGAGTAGCAATGGTATAGTATCTTAAGGAAGGGTAACCTTAAAGTCAGGATGGAATAGTGGGTTTCAAAATCTTAGTCCTGTAAGCCAGATGTGGTGGCACACACCTATAATTCCAGCACTTGGGAGGCTGAGGCGGGAGGATCGCCAAGAGTTCGAGGCCAGCCTGAGCTTAAAAGTGAGTTCAAGGCTAATCTGAACTACACAGCAAGACACTGTCTCAAAAAAAAAAAAATCTTATTCCTGTAAAAAATTAACAATACAGCCGGGCATGGTGGCGCACACCTGTAATCTCAGCACCCGGGAGGCTGAGGCAGGAGGATTGCTGCAAGTTTGAGGCCAGCCTGGGCTACATAGTGAGTTCAGGGCCAGCCTGAACTACATACAAAGGGAGACCCTGACTCAACCCCCCCCCCAAAAAAAATTTAACAATACTGGCATAATTTACTAAATATTGGCATAATTTACTAATTAACTGATTGAGAAGGGAAAGAAGAAAAGGCTGAATATCAAGAATTCACAAACATAAAGGCCATTATCCCCCTATTTTCAGCAAGAAAGCACTGACTGCTGATATACCTGAGCCCAATCTCTTAGCTATATAGACAAACCAAACCCTGGACAAAAGGAGAAAATAGTACATGGAGGACCCCACTCCCCCTGCCACCAATCTGTCTCACTTAGGACACAAACAGCATTGATACTCTCACTTTCAATTATTTATTAATCACTCTGTACCAAGGTGTGCTGGCACTGGAGATGGACACTCATTTCCTGCCACAGAAGAATTTACAGCTTAGCAGGGGAGCCTTATATGCAAACCCGTAATTGCTACATATAAAAAATGCTAACACAAGTATGTATAAAGTGATCAATGTGCTGAGAGAAAAGAAACAAATGGTTGATTCAGCCTACGGAGTAGTGACATGTAGGACTTGGGTAGAACAGAGAAGAAAGAAATGAGATGACAAAAGAGATGATGTGGAAAGTCTTTAAGTGAGTAGAAGCTCATCAAAAGAAAGGACAAAAGGTATGTTAAAGTTTAGCTGAGTAGGTATGTGGCCATAGCTGAAGGCCTTGTTAGGGGAAATATACTATGGATTGAGAGGAAGCGTTCTTTAAAAAAATGGTAAAATAGTAAAACTGTTAGAATTCAGTGATAAATGAAATTAACTGGCATATTAAGGAAAGTATGTACCATAATTTCAGTTTCCAATTTATGCAGACTGTGGTAAGAGATACAAAATAATATAGGAGGAAGAGCAGGATTTTAAAGTGCTAAGAAAAGAAACAGGAGCTCAATTTAACATACTGAATCTAAGGAGAGTAGACAGACCTTTCCCATAACCCACATTTTGTGGGCCACTGAGCAGAACAAATTAATATCAAATAAAAGTGGCTGCAGTGGGGCCTGTAAATCCTACTAGTAGTAGGGAAGTTTGTCCTAATCAATCATCTGAAGACATGGCACTATGCTACTGAATAAGTGCACGGTGACCAAAGAGCTCCATAAGAACACAGAGTGTCTCTCAGAACCTAAATGCTGTTATATAAACATTCACGTAACATGACAATTTGTAATAGAATGCATGTACATCCTAGGCGATAAAACTCAACCAGGTTTTGATATCTCACCATTTAACTTCTGTGTAAGGAGTATTTTACTACTGGATAGGTAAAAGAAACAACTCTTAATGGGAGGACTCTCTGCATCCCAGAATTCCAGTTTTCAAGCTGCTTTTATTCTTTTTTGCCAAATCACCATTTGCAAAGATCTCTATATTGTACTCAAAGTATCTGAAACTCAGCTGAGGATAAATATATTAAGAAATAGATGGAAATTAAAATTATGAAGGTTATGATATAACGTTACAACAGAGACATTATACAAAAATAGCTAAAGGACAGAAACTTGGAGAAAAACAACATTTCAAGGGTACATACAAAACACAACTGAAAAAATCCTGTTAGAGGTAATAGGCAAGGAGAAGATGAAATCATTACACCATCACCTTAGTTTGTTACTTTCTTAGTTTTGTTATTTTGAAAAGGAGAAAATATTATACATGTATATATTGTAACATATTTTTATCAGTAGTTAACATATCTTTTTTCTAAGAAAACAAGACTAAGCAAAAACTATGATGGAAACAAAACAACAGCAAAAGCCACAGATACAGATATAACCATAATAACAGAATTGGGGCTAAGGAACAATTTTCAAAAACCCTATGTTTTTGCTAAATCACAGTTTCTAAATCATTTCTATTAAAATTAATATACTACTCCCTAAATAAATCTGTGTTTTAGCAACTTCTGTCTCCTGAGGCAATCCAAAAATTATGTTTTAATACCTGGAATATAGAGCTCATTTTAGCTTACAGATATGGTCATATAAAAAAGTTACATAACTCCTAGACTGATATACTCCTTAATAACATAACCCGTACCTTTATGTTGGCTAGAATCTGCATTGAAGTTCATTTGTCCTTCTGGATGATTCTGTCCATTATCATCTGAATGTCTTGCATGAGGATCATTATGAAGAATATTAGGCTGGGTGTCACCTTGTTCTCCCAACAAAATACTAAATAGCTGAGAACAAAAAAAAAATCCTATTGCTGATCCACAGAGGAAGGTTAAAATATTCAGCCAAGATTTAGAGGCCATTTCCTGAAAGTGTATTTCTGTTAAAAAAAAAAAAAAAAAAAAGCAGGATGTTATAAAATTATAAATCAATAAACATAATAAAAGTAAAAAAAGTGTGATAACTTTTAGCTCTCATGGAAAGTTATTTCTTCTATATAGAAGAACATTTCTAATTTCTCCTTATCTATCACTATTTCCTGCTGTAACAGCATATTATATTCAATAAAACAAGTGACTAATTAGCAAAATAATTACTGCTGGAATGGGGGAATGACAGTACTGTATTTGCTTACACACTTATTTTTCCCACCAGTATCCTTTGTGAACCTCAAGCCTCTTTGCCATAATCTTTTTTCCCCCTTGGCTGTCAACTATGAGTACTGAAGTCTACCCTCACTTTTACAGCAATCAACACCTATTTTCCAACCCAGAAGTTACTCAATTTTTTCTGTAAATGACTAGAAATAAAATGCTTCAGGCTTTGAGGACTATAATGTCATCCCTGTTGCATCATGTTCTAAAAAACTTAAAAATGTAAAAGGGATTTAGCTTGTGGAGGGATTGGCCTGCCACAAGTTTTGTAATTAAAGCTTTATTTACGTATATTCATGTCCATTCTTTAATGTATTTATTCTGGCTGCTTTTCACTCCAAATTAGAGTTGAGTTGTTCCAACAGAGGAAAGAGCCTTACCTGACTCTTTTCAGAAAAAGTGCTGGCCTCTGCTATAAAACCCTGGCGGTACCGGATGTAGCCTCCCCTGCTTACCATCCTTCACTGTTCTCTCACTGGACTGCAAGATGCTGAATGGCATCTATATTACCAGGATTAATACCTGTAGTGGGGTGTCTGGAACATAGTGGCTGTTCAAAAGATACCTGTTGAACTGCCCCACAGCCAAACACACAGGCCCTTTTTAGGGGTTTGCTAGTAATTACTATACATTGCAGTTATAAATTCTCTGAGAATAGTCCTTAGAGCACAGCTTCCAACTTCTCAAGATAATTAAAAAAATAAATTTCTTGGCATCTATCATATGCCAGATGCTGTCCATCACACATAATTTCATTTTTCATTCTGACTATGCTCATTTTGCAGATGAGGAAACAAATTTTTGAAAGGTAAGCACAAGGAAGGAAGAGAGAATTCGCACCCAGATCTATTTGCTTAAGAAAAAACCAGTGCTTTCTGTTACACTTCTCAAACCTGTCATCCAATAAGAAGTCAATGGACACATGTAATAAAGTTAGAAGTCTGAGAGATGAAACCAAATACACAAGTCAACAATCACCACTGCAACAACAAAAATAAAACAATTTCACATGACTGTATTTCCAGAATGGCTAAGATCTTTTAGACAAACCATCAAAATACAATAAAATTTTAAAAAACAACAACAAACTAAATGTTAAAAAAAGAAATTATGTTTGAAGACACCAGTAAGATAAGAAAATAGTGAGAATTAGTGGGTCCAAAGTTTGGAAAAAAGAAGAGAGGTGAACTGGGCACTTGTCACAGCTCTACTGTACTGATTCTGACAGAGAAAACAGTTGAGAGGCAATGAAACTAAGCAAAAGTCAGTCTTCCTAGAACAGATCCAAGAAAACACTCCTTCCTTTGTGTTACATAATTTGCTTTTAAAATTAAAAATATTTTGTGATGCTGTTTCATGTTGCTATACTCTTCTCAGAGTATTATCACTCAAGCATATGTACATGCTGGCTTTTCCTTGTTGATTTTACCTGATTCTCTCCCAATTTCAAGGACTTCTACCTTATGATTAAATATCTGTAAACTACTCTTCTTTTCTGATGACAGTATAAAAATCATCTCATGTAGGTGGAATACACCCCTCACCCCAAAGGCCTCTCAGAGTTCTGGCAAAAATCATCATGTCCCCCTCTACAGATTCTTCACCAGAGTGGTGAAGTAGACCAGGCTGGAAGAAGAGATTACTTAACCATGTTGTACATTAAGGAGGTTTCTATATTTATTTGAACTGGGGAGGGGGTTACTTATGACAAGTGCTTTCCAAACCTGGTACTTTCTAAACCTGATGTCTCAGCAGAATTACCTGAGAAGCATTTTAATAATGCAGACTTGTAGACTTGAGAATAGAGAATTCAGATGCAAAAAATTTGTCTGGAAAATAAAACTTGGTAGGGGCCGGGGATTTAGTTCAGTGGTTCTGTCGCCTGCCTTGCAAGCACAGGGTCCCAAGTTCGATTCCCGGTACAAAAAAAAAAAAAAAACAGACTGCCCTAAAAACAAAACTTGGTGTTACGCACTGTAAAGAAAATACTCAATCCAAAGAAATGCATGAAGAAGGAAGAAATCTCCCCAAATCTTACCACCAAGAAATAACCATCATTAACATTTGGTGAATATCATTGCAGACCTATTGCTATGAATAAAGAACATAGAAGAAGTGGTAATTATAGCTAACATTTGAGCCTTGTACTAAGAACTTTACATGGATAAAATAGAGATTATTATTCCCATTTTACAACTCAGACACAGAAAATGGTAAAATTCCCAGTCACACTAGCAATGTGAATCAAGAATTTCTTAAACATTATTAGTTTTTACTAGTCATTTTCTTTCAAAGATTTAACAAACTGGATTTATAAGAAAAAAAAAGGAAATGAATCTAAAGGAGCTATTAAATGTCACTTAGCTATTCAGAATATGACCCCTCCCCCACATCCTCTAAATTATCCCTTTAAAGATTAGGAAAAAACTATGAAAAACAAAGCAGCTATAGGCCCTTTATTTAGCTACACATTTCAATTTTAGGTAGTAACTCTTTTGGTTTTTGTGAGAAATGTAGAGATCTGCATACACACATATCTCTCAATTTTTGTGAACTATTTTTACTTGCTAAAATTTATTATGAATTGTAACTTCATGACTGCTTAATCTTGGATTAAGCAAAACTGGATTCCATACTCTACGTAGCTCCTCTAAACTTTAGTTCTTCATTGATGCCATATATTTTTGGACTGGATATCAGCAAGTAGTTCTCATGTCAGCGCTGAGTAAAATCTTGCAAGCTGGAAAATGTCTGGTATTGCGTTAATATATGAAGCACAACCTGTCCAAATACAAACATTCTCCTTAGAACTTTGTACATGGTATTTCATGGTCTTCTTACACAGATGGCTGAGAAGTTTGAGAACTGATCCTTTACACTTGAAAATACAGGCATATCTTATTTCACTGTCCTTGGTTCTACTGTGCTTTAGAGATATTTTCACAAATTAAAAATATGTGACAATCCCTCATTGAGCAAGTCTATTTTCCAACAGCAAGTGTTCACTTTTCATCTCTGTGTCACAATTTGGTGATTCTTCCAATATTTCAAACTTCTGTTTTGTCTATAATCTTTGATGTCACTATTGTAATTGTTTTGGGGCACCATGAACCACACCTGTTTAAGACTTTGAACGTAATAACGGTTATGTGTGTTCTAACTACTCTGGCCTGTTCCTCATTTCTCTCCCTTTTAAGCCTCCTTACTCCCTTGAACACAAAAGTATTAATATTACATCAATTAATAATCCTATAATGGCCTCTAAGTGTTCAAGTGAAAAGAACAGCTACACATTTTTCATTTTAAGTCAAAGATAGAAATAATTACATTTTGGTGACAAAGGCACATAAAAAGACAATAAAGGTCAAAAGTTAGGCCTCTGGGCCAGGGATTTAGCTCAGTGGTTCCACCACCTGCCTTGCAAGTGCAAGGTCCGTAGTTCGATCCCCAGTACCAAAAAGCTAGGCCTCTTGCACCAAAGAGCCAAGTAGTAAAAACAAAGGAAAACTTTTTAATGGAAATTAAAAGTACAACTCCAGTGTACACAAGAATAAGACGGTGAAACAGTCAATGTTGATGTGGCAAGTTTTAGTGGTCTGATGGAAGATCTAACATAATATATCCTTCACGCTTATTCTAATCCAGAGGTAAGAAAGCTGGAAAAGGCAAGCCCGAAGCTAGCAGAGGTAGGTCAGTGAGGTTTATGGAAAGAGAAGTGCAAGGCAAAGCAGAAAATGCTAATGTAGAAACTATAGCAAATTAAAGATCCAGCTGTGGTAATGGATGAAGATGGCTACACTAAACGGAATTTCAATGTAGAGGAAATGGACTTTCATAGCTAAAGAGAAGTCACTATCTTGCTTCAAAGGAATGACTCTCTTGTTAGAAGCTAAAACAGCTGGTGGTTTTAAGCTGAAGCTAGGGACAGAGATGTAGCTCAGTGGCACTGTACCTGCCTGGCAAGTGCAAGCAAGGTCCTGAGTTTGATCCCAGGTACCGGGGGAAAAAAAGAAAGCTGAAGTTAATGGTCATTTATCACTCCAAAAGGTCCTAAGGTCCTTAAGAATTATACTAAATCTACTCTGCCAATGCTTTCTAAATGGAACAACAAATCCAACAGACAGCACATCTACTTACAGCATGGTATGTTGCAAAAAGTGTGCTATTAAGACCTACTGCTCAGAAAGAAAAAAATCAAAATTTTACTGCTCACTTACAATGCATCCAGTTACCCAAGACCTCTGACAGGGATATTATTTGAAAGTTCTAAATCATTTAAAATATATAGCATTAGGTTATATTATGAGAAAAGGTAAAAGAAGGTGCCCTTCCCTATTCTCATGCAATTTAGTCTTAAAAGTCAAGGAATTAATTAAGACTAAATAAAGGGGGACATATACCATGTTTATGAGTCAAAAGTACATGGTAGAAATGTCAATTCCTCACAAATTGATATTTAGGCTTTAATGCAATTTTTATCAAAGTTTCAACAAGTAGACAATATTATTTCACAATTCTTCAGGTGAAAGAACTAGAATAGTTAAAATTTTGAAAATATGAAAAAGGCAGGAAGACTGATTTTCTTGAGTTCAGGGTATCATATAGAGTAATGAAGACTATAGCGTACTGGTACAAAGATAGAGACAGGAATCAATGGAAAAGAACAGAGCATCTAGAAACAGACTTGTGTATAGATGCTCAAACTGATTTGTGACAAAGATACAGAAACAAATGAAAGATATCCTTACAATAAATGGTGCTGAACGTTCTTCGGCAAAAGGATGGCATGTTCAAGCCAAGACTGAGGGTCTTGGTGAGACCCTGTGCCAAAATTTTAAAAAAGAGCTGAAGACATAGCTCAGCACAAAGGCTCCAAGTTCAATTAACAGTGCCAAAAAATGAAACAAGCAAAAAGGCCCACATTCCTCAATGTAAGTCTCACATCTTCATAAAAATTAACTCAAAATGGACCAGTCTTAAATGCTAAAATATGCAAGGTCAAAACCCTTAGAAAAAGACTTTGTGTTTTAGAACTAGGAAAGACTTCATAAACGTAACACCAAAAAGCATAATTCATAAAAGAAAAAAACTGAAACTTGACTTTATCAAAATTAAATCTCTCTCTGTGAAAGACTGAGGATGAGCAGACAAATGACAGACTGGAACATCTGCAAACCACACATCTGGGGAAAAAACCCAACTAGCTTCTAGAATATATAAATAATTCTCAAAGATAAAATTCAATTAGAAAAAGTGCAGAAGATACTTCACCAAACACACATTTCACCAAAGATGTAAAGTCAGACTTTGGATTTAGGCTTTCTTAGTTTATTAGCTATAGATTATATTAGATATCCACCAGAATCATTCCACATCTAACTCCATTATTTTCTCAAGAATTTCTTTTTCTTGGACCGGGGATTTAGCTCAGTGGTTTTGCCACCTGCTGCGCAATCTCAAGGACCCGAGTTCGATCACCGGTACCAAACAAAAAAAAGAATTTCTTTTTCTTGTACTTTTCCTCCTCTTTCCTCAGAGCTGCTTTATGAACATTCTTTAAATTATCCAAGCAATTTCTTACAAAATAGCTTGCTACTCTGCCTGCACTAATCTAAATTTCTGGCAAGGAACTGGCATAGACCTTCTCCCACTTGGGATTTTTGCCTTTCAAAATTGTTAAGATCTTACAGTACACTTCAACTTGCTTGAAATTTGTGTTTTATGAGCTGCATCTCATATCACCCCAATTACACTTTTTGTTGCTTAATCTGTTCTCTTTCTCTCAAGGGTCAACAGAAGTATTCCCTGGAAAAACTTGTAGGGAAATAAGACAGGGACAGGAACAAAGCAAAGAAAGCAAGGAAGTATCCATGGAGAGCAATTTTAGCCCAATCCTTCAATACAGCTCTGAAGAAAATGCAGGTCACATCTATTTACTCATGCCATCAGTCACTGGTTAAGATCTGTCCTTACGAAGCAAATTTCCAAGGCATTTCCACAGTGTGTACGCTGCCAAAGTGGACTCTGGCATTATAAGCGGGGCCGTCCCACAAAGAAGTACAGAAGCTGGAAATGAACTACAGAAGTTGGGAATGAACACACATCAGAAGTCTAACATCAAGAAGGAAACAACAGGCCAATACACAAAGCACTGGTATCATCAGCAACAGTGGTTTTCAGATAGGGAAAGTTAAAAACTCTTCAGTTTGGATTCTCACTGTGGAACTCGCACAAGCTTGAGCAATAACTCACTCCAGGTGGATCATGCTACAGATGATTAGCCCCAAAGATGTGTACAGAGATTTCAATAAATTTTTTAGTATCTACTCTGCTATAAATAGCGAGTTAAGAATTCCAAGGCATTTTAAGGAATACCAACATAGTTAAAGCAACTTGGAAGAGCTTATGTAGTGATTTAAAAAAAACCTACCATTAATATCCTGAAAGATAGTGCTCACTTTGGCAGCACATACACTAATACCTTGAAAGATAAAAAGATGCCATACCCTCATATTCATGAAGACACTAATTTTTTAGAAAATTAAAGAAAAACCCCTACAAATTATAAACACCTCAACAGAAGAACTGTAGTTTAGAAAAAGTTAAGGAAATCTGCTGAAAATGAGCAAAGCAAAGACAAGGTGATGAAAAATAAAGTGTTCATGATAACCAAAAATCAGTTTTATATGTTCAGATAAATCCAAAGGGAGGAAATAACAAATTATTTCAAAGATGTTTCCACACTGAGGCGATCCAGATGCCCAGCATAGTAAGTAAAAACAGCCCCATAAAGTTACATTATCATAAAATTTTGGACTACTTATGTCAAAGAAACCATTCTGCTAGATTTTAGAAACTGGAACAAAAGGTCATGGACAAGAGTTAAGAATAAAATGCTTCTGGACTTTTATACTTCAAAACTGTAAAGTTAAAAATCAAAATTCTAAGGAAAATAATTTCCAATGTTAAATTCTGTACCCAGCCAAACTGTCCAACAAATGTGAGGGAAGAATACAGAAATTTTAAACATAATAGATTTTGGTTATATTAGTTTTTGATGTTAATACTTCTACTTTAAAACATAAGACACAGCTATAGAGATGCTGACCAAGTTGTTGGAGATACAGGTTTAGAGATGGGGAAAAGTTACAGCATTAGTCATCTGTATATTTGAACTGCAAAACTAAAAAGTCAAACCGAACCTATAATCTACCAAATAAAAATATGTAACTAATTATTCATTGAAAAGGATATTCTTCTAAGTGTTTTAAATTTATGTCATCTTTCCACAATCACACATAAGCTAAAACAGGTGTATAAATTCCCAGTAATTTATAGCTTGCTGAAGTGGCTTGCTACTATAAAAACCTCAAGACAAATTAAAATTCTTTTTTAGAGTACTCCTTTCTTTGTGTTCAAATGTAGGTGCCTCCACTTTTAGATTACTCTTAATAACCCACTAAGCAGAATATTACACAACTGCTAAAAAATCTCCTAAAGATTATATTTCAATATAAAAACATGGTTAGAATGTAAGCAAATAAAGAAAAAGAAGATGCAAAATTGTACACACAGTTGTTTTTCCAACCATGTATTTAAGAAAAAGCTATCCCAAAAAAACAACTAGGAAAAAGAAATGTAAAAATTTCTAATTTCAGCGGTAGGATTATTTTCCCTATTTTTCTAAATTTGAGTGTAGTGAGTATACACAGTTTGAAGAACTCAAAAATTAATTTTGATTTTAAACTCTCAATTTTGAGGATCTCAAATAGCTCCTGTTAATGTGAATTACATCTACTGATTAGATTTGTATTAGAAATTAAAACAGAAAAAACTCTGAGGCTTTATTTTTTGAAGCAGGTTTATATTTACAACAAAATTAAGAAGGTAGAGATACACCCTTTCTTTCCACAAATGTATAGCCTCCTTTATTATCAGCATCCCTCATCAGAGGATACATCTGTTAATAACTGATGAACCTACATTATTACCATAGCTTACATTAGGGCTCACTCTTGGTGGTGTACGTTCTGAGTTTATATGGCATATTGACACTAGATTGCAATAGCAGTATTTTCACTGCCCTAAAAAGCCTGTGTTTAAACTACAGCTGCTCCTCAACTTACGATAGGGTTATAGTCAGATGAACTCCTTGTTTGGTTTTTTGAGGCAAGGCCTTAGTATGTAGTTCAGGCTTACCTTGAAGTCACTGTATAGCCCAGGCTGGCTTCAAATTCACAGTGCTCCTCCTGCCTCAGCCTCCTGAGTGCTGAGATTACAGCATGTGCCACCACCACGTCTGGTTCAGATGAACCCCCTGTAAGGTGAAAATACTGACCCTGAAAATTCATTTAACATACCTAACCTACCAAATAACAGAGCTTAGCAAAACAACACACTATACACCGTTGGCTGTTTACCCTGGAGAGCTGCTACGGTCTAACCTTGAAAGTATCCTGCCGACTTATCACTAGCCCGTGATATAGTTCAGATCTAAAATAGCCCCAAAAGTCTTGTGTTCAGAGGTGAGACTTTTGGAAGGTGACTAGATCACGGAGATGCTCCACTGGTCTGTGTTTGGTCCACTGATGAGTTCATAGCTGTGCTGTTCAGATTTGGGGCCTGGTCAAAAAAGGAAAGTTCCTGGGGCTCTGACCTGGAAGGGTGTATTCTTGTCCCCCAGCTCCACCCCTCCCTTTCTGCTTCCTGGCTGCCATGGAGTAAGTAGTTGTTCTCTTCTAGGCTCTTCTGTCATGACATTTCTACCTTGGAGCCAGACAACCATGGACTAAAACTTCCAAAACCATGAGCCAAAATAAACCTTTCTGCATTTAAGTTCTAAGTGCTGGGTATTGTGTCTCGGCAACAAGGAAGCTGACTCATAAACCCAAGAAAAGGTCAAAATTCAAAATTTTAATAATTTGTATTGGGTGCATACTGCTTTCCCACGATGGTAAAGAAAAAAATCAAACAGAATAATTCTAAGTTGGGGACCATCTCTATTCATAATAGACGAGAAACCCACTATCTGTTAATACAAATAACATTTTATGAAAAATATATTTGAGGGAGAGGGAAAGGGTATAATTCATAATAACTAAATCTTGGAAACAGCCTATGAGTCCATCAACAGATGAATGAATAAAGAAAATGTGATATTTATATACAATGGAGTACTACTCTGCAATAAAGAATAATTTTGAGTCATCTGTAGGAATATGGATGCACTTTGAGACCAAAGTGTTAAGTAAAATAAATGAGACACACATGTTTAAATACTGCATGGTTTCTCTTATACGACATAACCTCCAGAGCAAAATAAAAGATACAAGATAGGAAACAGGAAGATAGATCTTTTGCAAATGGGAAGGGGACCAAGAGATGAATGAAGCGAGGGGAGGGGGAAGTAGGTGAGGGAAAGGAGAAGTAAACAAAATTAAGAGGTAAAAAGAATTCTTTACCTCTTTATAACCATCTATATTCTATAAATATATTGACTTTCCTTAGTTCAGGGTGTCTTTCATCTGGTCAATATATATAATATATATATATATATACTTTTTACCTCTTAAATTTAAAAAAAATTCATATTATTTTTTCAGGAAAAAAAAACTTTTAAAAAAGCAGAGAAGCAAGACTTTTTAGTTCAAGGCTTCTTTCATTTGGTTAAGATTCAGTTATTTTTTACATTATCTATAGGTATAACTAGATTTGGAACTAATCTGAGTGTTGGCTACTAAGAAATATTTGCCAAATGTGATATTTTCTACCCTCATCCATTTTGTTTTGTTTCATTTTGTTTTCTGAGACAAGGGTCTTGCTATGTAGTTCAGGCTAGCTTTGAATTCACTACATAGCTCAGGCTGGCTTTGAACTCCTCCTGCCCCGTGCTGGGATTACAGGCGGTGCTACCACACCCAGCCCTTTCTTCAGCCTGTTACAATAAATCTATACAACATGCCAGTAACTCTGGGTATTACAGACACCACAGAGAATGCAAAAAAATCTGTGGATTTATGGAATATTAATAAGACATTCTTATGTTTTGATCTTCTGATGTAGAACTGGTAGTAACATTTAAAAATATACAATCAGTGATTCATATTTATACAATTTGATTTTAAATTTGACTATGTAATCTTTGGAAAAGTTAAACACCTTTCCATCTGTTAAACAGATTTTCAACTTACAAAGGAGTTGCATTCCAATAAATCCATTGTAAAGACACCATAAGCCAAAAATGCATTCAATATCTTGATAAACTCAATGTAGAAATAAAAAATGTAAATTGAACCATTTAAAATCCTGATTTCCTTGACTTACAATAGGGTTATGCCCTGATAAGCCACTGTAAATTTGAAAAGTTGGAACCGTCATTACCGTAATAAAGTTACAGTTTTCCTCCTGTTTATAGAGTATAAACTGCCTACAGGCAAAATATAGTATTTTGCCTCCGAGTTGTAGACTACGATGCTTTTCATAAGACAGCAGTACAGTCAACACTAGCTCGCTTGATGTGGAAGTTCAAAGCACCACATTTCATTCATATTCTTCCCATTGTCAAATCTGACCATAACTGTCTACCTTCTTACTTTAACCACTCTGTGACAATACTTTTCTCCTTCAGTTATTGATCATTCTTCTCTGAACCAATTACTTCATAGAGGCTTTAAATAACAGACTTGCAAAAAGTTGTAATACAGTAGTCACCCCTTATATACAGGGAATAAACTCAGACACTAAATAGATGTCCAAAATAGTGAACAAGAGTGAACACTATGTATACTGTTTCTGATAAATCTGCAAATTATACACAGTGAGAGATTAGCAACAATAAAATAGAAAAATGAAACAAGATACTATAATTAAAGTTATTAGAATATGATCTCTGTATTTCTCAAATTGTACTACAGATCTTAGCAACCTCGGCATATGGTTTCTTTTCCTTATGAAGTTGAGAACTTTCACCTTCTCATCAATAGGAAGGACTTTACAGCCTCTCGTTGCCACAAATTGCCAACATTACCACTTTTGCACTTTGGGACCACTATTAAGTAAAATAAAGGTTATCTGAATACAAGTACTGTAATTCTGTGACAGAGCTCGTAACCTCGACAGCTACTTAGTGATGAATAGGTAAGCAGCATATATACTATGAATACCCTGGATGATTCAGGTTCCAGGTAGGAAGAAGAAAGATCAAGACTATATAAGATTTCTCTACACTAGTCACAACCGTGCACAATTTAAAATTTATAAACTGTTCATTTCTGGAATTTTCCATTTATTTTCGGACCACAGATATTGCCAGTAACTGAAACCTGAAATTATGAAAGAATAAGGAAGATAAGTACTTTCCAATGCAACACTATCAAGCCTAACTGCTTAATTTGGTATATAAGATCTAACTACTTTAGCTTCCTGCCCTCTTATTTTTTTGATAATGCTTATCTCTAAAGCTTACAACCATTCTCTAAGTTTGTCATTGACTTTTACGATTGATTCTGACCATTCTATTCTTTCTGCCCAGAGCATCTCACCCCATTCTGCCTTCTAGATAGAGGTATAATTAGCTTCTAAGGTTATCTTTGTTTCAGTACTCTCTATGACCCCTTTCCTCAACACTAAGAGCAAACTATTCTCCCTTCAAGTATTTCTTTGTTCCTTTATTTATACCTCTACCACATTCTCATCATGCTGCATTAGGGTAAGGATATGGTATCTCTCTACCATTAGAAGAGCTGGCTATGAACTCACTTATCTCCATCTCTCCAACTCTAACACACATTATAGCTTGTAAAAGATATCCAAGTTGGAGGAGAAAGGTACAGTTGAAATGATTTTTCCCAACAGCTATCTGAGTTGCCTGATTTACTAAATAAAACTGTTTTTACTGTATTTCAAATCATGTCTAACATCTACATCAACAGTTATTTCAAAGCTTTGCAAGTCTCTCAACAAAAAGAAATGAAAAATAAATGAGTTATTACTGAATAAATTATATTTCCACAGAATCATTAAGAATCTGCCTAACCATGAAATCATACAAGGCCCATCATTTGATGCTTTTAAGTACTATTCTATAGCACAAGGTCATTAATTAGCCATATAATATATTTCTTTTAATGTGTTTGACTTATGAACTATCAAAAGTACACACTAATTCAAAGACAGAGGCTACAAATATTAAATTAGTGACATCTACAGAAAAAAATTAATGCAAACTCTTACTTAATGATCCTAAAATACTATATGAGCACTAAAGTTATACAACTCAAGCACTAGAAATGATCTTGGAATTTCATAAATCCTGACAAAGTACCTCAGGATAAGAAATAATCCTTCCAAAAGTTGCATATAATGTCATACTAAGAAGTCAAGTTGTATAAATCTAAGACTGACATTGTATTTTTAAAAAATTCCTAAATTTAAGTTCAGATGATCAAGTCAGAATTCTTTCATTCCTTTTTTGTCAGTACACAAGTATCTTTTACATCCTCAATGATTCCTATAATACCCAAAGTTAGAAGTTATGATGTTTATCACAATGAAACTGTCCTAGGAACAAGTAATATTCTTTCTCCATGAATCCCACATCTGCCCTGTTCCCAACAGTACACTGAGACTCCAACCACAAGGTAGTAGCTTATTCTTGAAAGGTTATCATTTGGTCCCTATGCATCATGACCACTTTTGTCCCTATTTCTGACTTCATAAGAACAAAGTATGAATTTCTTATCCATTTTGGTACTGTTTTCCAATTGTGTCTATCTTTGAACCTACAAAAACTACCATATCTAAAAATACTTTCTTTCCCTTCTACACACAATATCTACCAATTGTGAAACTAAAATTATACAGCCTGAGTCAATATTACCAGTTTTTGATGTAGTAGCGTCCTTAGAACTTTCCTACTAAATTAAATATAAGACAAAGATACAGGTTATCACTACCATTAAATAGTACACTGAAAGCACTAGCCAGTGCAACTGAAGAAAATAAGAGATGTAAGTATTTAAGAACAGTGTCATCATTAACTATTTATAATTGGACCATCTTTTGAGAAAAATTGAAACACTATATAAAAATAGAAAATAATGTAAGGCAGCTACTTGTGAAATTATTATTAATATGAGATGATAAGCAACCATAATGGAAAATCTTATTGCAACAGCAAGCAAAAAAACTACGTACAAAGAATGAACGTAACTAAAAATGTACAAAAACCATAATTCCACTGAAGGATCTATAATAAAACTTGAGTAAATGGAAAGACGACAAATACAGTGGTTCCTTCATTCGCAAACATGATGCATT